CGAAATGATATAATCTTGTAATATTTATTTTCTTAACACGTTATAGAATATTGTTTTTGTTCACTTCGTCTTGAATCATTGCTAAATTATAAAGAATAGTAGCATATTTGAGCGATTTAAACTAATTTGTATATCGTAAAGCCGTATCAATAACCTCCTATATAAAAACGAGTGAATAAATTACGCACTTATTTTACATATCTAGTAATCAGTATCGTTTCAACTACAGGCGGCACAGACGGTGGTGTCAAAGGCAGGATCGAAAGAGTTAAGCAAACCTTCAATAATCTGAAATCAGTGTGGAACAAGATGTCAAGTCAGGGCATCCATATAATTCAGAGAATTGACACCTGCATCACGAAAAGCATTGTCAACAGCCTACAGACTTTCATTGACAGCCCTATTCTCTGGCTGCATATAGATAGACAGCCAGAAAGCATAAGTAATGAAAGATTTTGTCAACAAACCAACTATTAAACTATCACAGGAGAAAATTAAGGTAGATTAGACACACACTGGAGAAATGATTGAGTGATATCACATACCAGACAGACTTTAGCCTAGAACCTGAATAGGAAACAGCGAGTAGAGTACGCAGTGGTGACATAGAGGTGATGGTGTAAGGCGAAGATAAAAGTTAATGGGAAAATATCAAGCCAGTTAAAATGGACTGCAGAGAGAGCAAGGGAAAATGATGGTGTGTTGCTAAGTCCCATGTTTCACTCGGAATCCAAGGGAATAATAACAGTAATAATACATAATAAAGTAGTGGTACATTACTTTCCTTCTTCTGTCTAAACTCGGATTTCAAAAATTGTTCATTTTTACCACCTGTGGTAAAACTGTGTCTATTTATTTTATTTATTTATTTTCTACAGATTAGATTAAATACTCAAATTTCGGTTTATAGTTAATTTGCATTTATTTAGGTCAATTATTCTATCGGTATTGTTAGCAAAGAACTGCTCTGTTGCTCACTTTTACGTATCCTGTTTCAAAACTGTTCACGGTTACTGTTTTTCCTATTCTTATTAGACAAAACAACTTGATCACGTGTTTGTAGTTTTATCTACATACAACAGACACCCATATCAAAGTGCATCGGATTACTTTCAGAAAAGAGTTAGGGATTTTGTAGACGATTTTAAAAAAGAAATGTGGCGTTTATTTTGTTTTTATCTGATGATGTATTTGAACGTGTTAGTAGTTTTTATTGACTCGGGTGTGAACACAGGCATAATTTAGAAGTTGATAAATGGAATTTCTTGTAACCTGGCTTAACGTGTTGTACTTTCTAAAAAACCATGGATATCAGAAAAAGAAAAGTTCTACCTAGACAAAACCCGATCTATCAGTTGTATTCATGATAAAAGAAACTAAATTCAATTGATCTGAAAGCAGGAAAGTCGGTGGACTGATGAAACGCTTTCAGAAGTACCCTGATTAGCTACTCCTTCGTGATTAATCAGTTTATACAATTCAGTCTTACAGAAGGTCCATTGTGGGCCCTAACACTTAATTATTAACACGTCTGATTGCATCATCGGGTGACGTGGTTTCAATTATCCGAGAGGATATAGCTTTGATGATGACTATTAGCTAATACAAATTCTAGGTCTGCAGCTTTTGTCCGATTACATGTAGCCGGCTAACATTACTCACGCAAGTCTAAGAAATTTGTGATCTTCAAAAGTTAGGTTAATGATGATTTGGAGTTTTAATTCACCGAGTATTTCCGAGCACTTAAAGGACTCAAGCTTATTCTTATCAAACCTAAAAGCCCTCATTGCTACAAACATGTCAAAGAGGCGGAGTTTTTCAAGCAACAGTAAAGGTCAAGCATTTATTTATGCAAGAATTTCTAAATGGAAATACAAACCACTCAAAAGAATTCCTCGAGAAATGGACACTAAGACGTGCCTAATGAAACGCTTTCGTAAGGTCATCACACTTTATGCTCTCAATACAAATTCAGCATAACTGTATTATCCAAAGGTATGTTCTAGTTAGCAAATGTTCATTATATGTTCCTTCGTTTTTCTTTGTACCATTGAATATGTAGACAGTAACCACATGAAATTCTTTTGGTGTGCTTACATCAGTTCTCTAGTAGAATTTTTAAAAATAAGAACGGTAAACAGAAAACATCTTGATGACTTAATATATTGTTTTCTTTTTGTTCGGGAGGTTTATCTGATAATAATTGTTAAGTGTACGAAAGTCATCCGAATGAACATTGCGCCACTCTGCCAACACCACAAATGCTTTGGTCATTCATGTAAGAGTCATAAACTTTTAGTTTTCTTTTCTGATTCTCTTGCTTCATCAAATCCTTGACTTTTAGTGCAACTGATTTTATTCTTGACAAGATTTATTCTGAATTTCAGGACAGTTAGCAGCCACTTTCCCTAAAATATTCCCGATTACCAACCTTACTTTTCACAAAGTGGAACTAGCACTCCTTAATGTCCACATGTTACGTAAGCCAAATTGAACAATGAGGACAACATCCCATACTGTCTTTCGGCTTTACACGATCATTACTGACTAAAAAGACTAATACTGTTTGCACACAAAAACTGTACCTAATAAGAAATCTATGCCTTCCTCAATGTGTGTACTCAGTCTCTGGATTATATAGAGGCGCCGACTTAAAATTACTATTGGAAATTCGGATCACTGTATACTGTAGGTCACCACACGTCAAAGATTTCACAATATTGGACACCCTTCTTGCTTTCCATATCCTGGATGACTTAAACATCTTTAACTGTAGCACTTGTAATTAAAACGATGCCACCAGGTTCAGGAAATCGAAAGAGATGACTTCCTTTAGATTAATCACATTTATGATGATAGATATTTCTTTGCATTGGTTGGGTATCTTCTTCAATACCCATTTAACCATATCCACCCAAAGCCATCTCTTCTGTGTTTCTTCTGTCAACTACTTTGTTCCCTCTTAAGTCTTCGATTTCTTGAAACATGAAACGTAAACAATTTACAAAATTCAGATCTTCTACGATCCTTCCATAAGTCTACTGTGTGTCCATCTTTTCACTCCTGATGGTCTGCCATTACTTCCACAACTAAGAAGATTTTTGGTGATAACAGACGGCTTGGATTCACTCTTTTCCTCACTTAAAACACGGTGAGCCTTCCAATTCATAGAATTAGGAATATCTAGAAAAATTCATTCATTCATAGGTGCGTCGGTGGCACAGCGGTTAGGACGCTCTCCGACCATTTACATGGTCCAGGGTTCGATCCCTGGCCGACGCACCCCTTTACCTCGCTAAGCGAGTGATAAAGCTGGTAAAGAGGAAAGGTTGGACATGAGGCTAGCAACCCCATTCCATAAAAATAAACAACACTGCTACGGAAACTTCAAGCCTCAAGCTTGAAGCCCTATGTTCCACTGGGAACGTCGAGGAATGAAAAAAGAAAAATTCATTCAAACCTCTATAGTACATCAGTTTAATCGACAGTACCACTGAATTTTTAAAATATGATTACCATGATTTCAGAGAGTACTTAGCAACAGTGTTTCACCAAATGGTTCCAAGTAAATTAGTGATTACACTTAAGGAATGACTTACAAACTTGTATCACACATCCCACCACATTAGCAGCCATCATAACTAGAATATTTGTAACTGTAGAGTTAACGAATCATTGTCGAACATAGTGAAAATAAACGCCAGAGTCACATATTATGACTTCTGAATTATCAAACAAAGTGGTTTAACTAACACAGAAAACAAACGCTAAATCAGCTCTTTATCCAACTCAAAAAGTAGTACTATTAAACCATTGATAAAGTGTCAGTTGTTCAAAATAGAATGATTAACTATTTAATCACTCAGTAAATTCTATTCAAATGTGCTGTTTATTATCCTGTCTATTTATTTTTTATTAATAAGAATATATATAAAACTGAAATTTTGTCTGGTTGATTGCGACTAGTAGTGGAATTCAGAATGTGGGTTTCATCTCATACAAGACTCATCCTCTGCATGTGCTTTCACCTACAGTCAGTGATTTTGCTGCCAATGCTACCCATACTAAGCATCTGCTGTTCCGAACACAGCTACCTTAAAGAATGGAGATCTAGGGGGAAAAGAAACGCACCAACGACCTTGAATCACAAATGTAGACCAAGTTAATGAAATCAAATGAAAGACAATTTATTCCTAAAATATTTTGAAAAAGAGTGATAAAATGGCAAACAGGATTTCTGGCTATTTAGGGATTAGGAGTAGGTTGATGTTAAGTCACAAGATGATTAAAGGTGCTTAGGGTCAGACTGGAGTGGGTTCGCAGAAAGATAGGGGTTATGGTTAACTAAGAGACCCAAATATTCTTTTGAAAATAGATAGCTCTTTCTAGATCAATAGTGGCTTCGTTAGCTTGCATCTCTAAGCCTCACCTTTGCCTCAAACACGAAAGCTTCATCTGCTAGGTTACTCAGTAAAAACACCATGCAGCTGGAATAAAATCAATCAGTGGGAAGTTCAGAAATGTTAATTGTAACAAATAGATTTGGACTGTTTGCTGCAGAAGCAATTTGTACGTCGAAATCTCTATAACCTTCACCACTATCCACAAAAATATACCACTATCGCCTCCTTTCATAAAAGAAAACAGGGAATTAACACTCGATATGCACTGCAATCAAAAGGCACACTGCTTGATGCTTGAAGTGAGATAAAAATCACTAATTATTTGACTTATCAAAAAAAATTCTTTAGTCCTACAAAACCCAATTTCTATCCTAATACCGACGTGAACGTATTAACCGAATCAAAAGGGGATATGTTACCAGTATAAAATGAAATACAAAATGAAAATTTAACCAAATTCAGGGGATTTGTTGGCCTAACAATTGATCACCGACCAAAAGGTCTCATTATTCGGAACTTTATCAAAGGGATCAGTTTGATAAAAGCGGAAGAATAGCAGTAATAAAAGTACAAAACAAACTCAGAAATATAACTTACAAAAGTATACCATAAGACGGTTAACAAATTTCTCCATTTTATTGTCAATGTAATGTTCTCTGCAGAAATTAAGAATTTATCACTCTAAGTATATGTAAATATTCGTATATTTATGACTAGCTATATTTATTTACATAGATATTTGAGTAGAAGACATTTTAACCAATCAGATTATTGAAAAAATTATTAAACAGCAAAGAGACAAAATGTGAATGTAAAATATTTGTCACACTCTTACATCAGAGCATAACTATTTGCTTGAGTAATCTGTCTTATTTTCATAATTTGTTTTGTACAATAGGTCTAAAATCAACTAACAACTCAGGTCTTGTTTCAATGAAGCTTATAAAAAACACTTACCCCTTATAATACATGGTTTATTCCGTTGTAAATATGTCGTGATAAAGTGCGCCAATCTGACGCGTTGTATTTCACTGTAACATATTTTAAATTGCACAGTTAAATGGTTTGTTTAATATGCCTTTTCAATAAAGAAAGAAAGACCAGTTTTGCAGTATGAAATGATATCAATTCATACTTTGACTGACACTAATTTACTAATTAGCGTGATGCGCTTAGTCCTTTGTTTGGTGCAAACTGAATTTCATCCGTCAACCATGCAATGTATCTGCCATGATAAGTGGATTGACACCCCACTGAACCCTGAAATGTTAATTAAAATATCATTAAAGTAAACCATGATGTCGAGTCACCTTTCAAGGTGGCAATATTGCACATAGTTTGCTGACAGGAATCAGTCTCCACCAAACAAAGGACTAGACACACTACAATAGCCACTAACCAGTTTCCAATCAATCAATCAACCACTTCAAGACTAAAGGATGTCGATCGCGAGCCTGGATGGCTCAGTGGTAACAGCTCCGACTACAGCAGTGGGTAGAGCAAATTAGAATTGCAGAGGGGACATGAGTTACTTCAACACTGTAGGTACACTCTGCTGACCGATGAAGGCCAACAAGCACGATACCCAGGTCAAAAGCTTGTTTCTTGCATTTATTCCCCTTGATGAATTTAAATAAAGCAAGAACAACAGTGGTTTGTGCAGAATAATATGGTACCATCATTTATTTCGTCGGCTTCTCATCAGCTGCTTACAGCCTAAATAAATTGTGATGTTTACGTACAGAAAAGTTTTAACATACTTGCAAATTTTACATGTTGTCAGTTGACAGAAAGTTCCACAATTAGTGAAAAGTGCTCAGAAAATCGTGCTTATATAGTTTTTACACAGGCAGTTCAAGTCAAAATGGATGTATGCATACAATGGTAAAAGAGTTACGTAATAAAGACGAGAGGTGAGTAAGATGAGTAACTAATAAATTTGGTAACGATGTACTGACTTCAAATCACGTCATAGAAACAAGCAATATTACAGATTATAAAAAAGAGGGGTGAGGTTGTATACATACATTGTATGCATATGCAGCTGATGAGAAGCCGACGAAATAAATGATGGTACCATATTATTCTGCACAAGCCACTGTTGTTCTTGCTTTATTCAAAAGCTTGTTTCTGATTGCCTGCAATCAAATGATATCATTCTATTTCACGCGTTTTCATCAGCTGCAGACTACCTTGAATTACTATGGTTATCAAAGAATAAAAACAACATACTTCAATGTGTGAATGATAGTAGGGGAAAAGTTATAAAATTAGCATATCCAGAATGTAAGCATTGCAACTTTTAGCTTTGGTTCCCATCAACTTATGTGGTTCGGAAGTAGAAAAGGAGGGAGGTGGAAGGTGGAGACAGAAAATCAATAGTGTCCGCTTAAAAGTTTATTTAGCAACTAATGAAAGTCATATTTGATCTTTATTATTTGACCATTTCATTGAAATCTACCCAAACAATAAATTCACCATGGAATATGAACATAACGATGACTTCAGGTTCCTAGATCTTAATGCAAGAATAAGAATCGACGGTATGGTCGAAAAGTTTATTTCTAGAAAAGAGATCTCGATTAGAAAATATATTCACTATAACAGCTTTTGTCCTATGGGCTGTAAGCGTGGATTAGTGAAGATACCACAGGACAGAGTTATGGGAAGCTATGTTCACCCAAAATACCATGGAAAATAAGAAGGCTTTGATAGGAAGTACCCAGGAAAAAATGGGTATCCAAAAGGATTCATCCTACAGTATAATAAAAGGTAAAGACGAGAAAATGAAAAACAACTCTTGAAAGGACGAAAGTGTTCATTTGTCTCCCATTCAAAAAAGACTGACAAGAGAATAAAAGGATCGAAAAACGATTCTTCCCTTTAGCTAAATTCTTAAAACTGTACAGCATTATATGCTCAATAAACCAATCTGAAGTGCATAAGTACCTTGATGATATCGTCTCATACTGCTTTCATAAATTTATATACACTTGCAGTAGCAACTATATTGGAAGAACATCTGGATAAAGTTGTCTTATCTGAAACGGAACATTCTTTTTATTCTCAAGTTTTGCCTTGCATATCTTTATAAGAATTTACGCTGGTATAAAAAATTTCTACCATACCATATTTAGCACGGGTTTTGTGTGAAGTGACAACTAGATGTCAAACAAAAACCTATATACCTTTTAAATCAGTAACTGAACTGCAAAGTATAAGCAAAGGTTGTTGTTACATGTATTATCTATAATACTAACTACTTGTACTTCTTTATGTTTTCACCAATATTCTGTTTATAGTGGTTTTATTATTAACATTATTATTACCACCTAGATTTCATGTACTTACGTATCTATAAAAGCAGCTAAATTGTTGCAGTATTTAAAAAAACCGCTGAAAATTCCACTGTCGTTTGAAATAAAGTGATTATTATTACCATTATTATTTCAGAGCAAATCTCAAGAAACTAATGCCTAAAATGAAGCAGATATTCGCGAAGTGCGATTACTATTTTTTTATATTTTTTGATTACAGCTTGATTCCACACCGTATTTTCAGTACAAGTATGGAATTTTCAGCATGGATATCGGTAGCCAAAATTTACAGACCGACCATAGATATCAGGTGTGCGTCAGTAGGGGATCGAACCCCGGACCATGTGCATGGTCGGCGAGAGTCCTAACCGCTGTGCCACCGACACGAGACACCATGTGGATAATAGTCATTTCGTCGAGATTTATAAATCCTTCAAAATAATGTATTAACAAAAGACTGTGAACTCACCATGATTTGCTGAAACGATCGTCACGAAACGTTCTAAACCGAAACTATGCTTACAAAAAGAGAGCGGAATGAATCTCTAACCTCTTTTGTAGATGCATTTTGATTATATAGATTAGTAATACATTTTAGTGATTCCAGTTAAGTGAGTCAGTCCTTTGAATTATATATAAACCCACATTAGTTTCTATGTAAACTTATAAGCTGTCACTGTTCATATTCTGCTCTGTGTCTCTTGCCTCCGCTTCCCTCCTTTTAACACTTCGAAATCACGTAAGTTAATGGAAACCAAAGCTAAAAGTTGCAATGCTTATATTCTGGATATACTAATTTTATAACATTTTCCCTACTATCATTCAAACATTGAAGTATGTTATTTCCATTCTTTAATAACCATAGTAATTCCAGGTAGTCTACAGATGATAAGAACCTGTTGAATTGAATGACATCACATTGTACGGCAAACTCGTTCTTTCTAACTTCATCAGAATTTATCAAGGTAACCAAGCACATGATATGCAAAGTGTAAGAGTTTGTGATTCGAAGTTGTCTTCATCGAAAACATCATAGTTTCCATGCTTGGACCAATATGGTTAGAATCAAACATTGCTAATGTATACTATCATTTCAAGTACTTTAAGGCTTCTTCTTCTTGTATTTATCTCGTAAATATACTTCCAATAATGTGTTATTCATAATTTCATTTTATACCATTTTGCAGCTGCGCAGAATTTCTTTTCTCTTCCTGAAATAGCGTTCAATCACGTGGTGGCATAGCACTCACCCAGATATACGCTGTTCACTGGTTGACCATAACTATCAGCAGGAAGCGGAACGAAGTTTGGGTTGTTGCTCAACTTCGATGGTGACCTTAGTAAACTGTTTACAATTTAACATTTATACGGACGTGTTCTGATTGCTGGTACAATAATTGAACAATTTAAACTTTTGAAAAAGTATTAATTTATGATACTTCAGGATTGTAATCTATAACATTACTGATCGTGCCTGTAAAAATGGCATGCATTTCTTGTAAACATACCTGTTTATATAAAATATAAATTAATATTATTATACTTTTATTCATAGAGATTTTTATGTTTCTACCTTCGCACCTAGCGACCGCAACATATTTGATTGTAAGCAATCGTGCAGGGAAATATTTCTGGACAGATGGTTCTGAAGAAGTTAGTTACTGGAACAAAGTACAGAACAGAAAAAGAGAAAAAAGAGAAGCCAGATTGAACAAACCTATTTTGAGAACTAGTGTTATTTTTAAGCATCTCGTTTATTCAAGTGTTCATTGTAATTTAAGTACTCATTTCAGTTCAGCTGAGTAGGTAGTTTTATATGCATTTATCACTGTCATTTTGACACATCTATCAATATCATACTGTGTAAAAGCCACCAGTTCAGCAAACAGCATCAACATTAATGTGAATAATTTGTCAAATAAAGTGAATCCTGACCCCTGTGAAGCGAATATTTTATCAGGTAGTCCACAAGGTGAGAGGTAACATCTGCTGGCACTTATTCACATGTTAGATGTGAAAACTTGAGTTCACCGGTCAATACCTTGAACTCATGTCATTTACGCCTATTATCAGAAAGAGCGAATAGTACATAATTCTGAAGACACTTTCCTGAACTTTATCAAATAAAGCTGTTATTATATACCATTGGTAATGTACTGATGTACACATAAGAGCAAAAGGAAGCATACAGACTAAGTTCTAGAATGTCGCCTGTTCAAATCCAAGAGTCAATAGGCTTCTTATTCACAGTTTTATAATATTGACTGTCTTAATCTTACTGATTTACGAGACAGATGTAATTTCATGATGTGATTTGGTGGATAGTGACTAGGAATGGAACACCGGATGTGAATTTTGTGCTATTCGAGAGTCGTCATC